TGCATAGATGTTTACCCTGACCTGCAAAACCTGATCTAATAATGTTTGGTCTACAGCACAGGGGATCCTACAGGATGAGGATCTATGAGAGGGAGAACTTCGGTGGTCAGATGCATGAGTGTATGGACGACTGTGACAACATCATGGACCGCTACCGTATGTCCAACTGCATGTCCTGCCACGTGATGGACGGTCACTGGCTGATGTACGAGCAGCCCCACTACCGAGGCCGCATGATGTACCTGAGGCCTGGAGAGTACAGGAGCTTTAGGGAGATGGGATATGGAGGCACTAATTTCATGAGCATGAGGAGGATCATGGATTCCTACCACTAAATTACAATAAAGATATTTGCTCTATTTTCTAATTTTGCAGCAGTCCTTGTTTTGTTTTTTTTTCTGAAGAAGATGCATTTAATCATGAGTCCAAAATCTGCTTGTGTCTTTTACTGGCTGTTAATATCTGTGATAAAGATGTTAATTTCATCTACACAACTCTTTATATCTTGATCCTAAAACTGCATACTGCTAAATTACCAAAACAGATTAAATAAAATCTAAAAATTGTGGTTTCAACTGCTTGCAGACCAAGAACTTTTAATCAATGTTCAATTAAAATGGCTATCAAGTGTGTTTTTCAATCCAAGCAACCTTATTATCCTGTTACTAACTCATTTCCCTAAAAAAAGCTTTTCTTTTCCAAACCAAATACATTGATATTAACATTTTCTCAGATTCAAATCCTACAAATGCCACCACAAAGGCCACATTATGAGAAGGGATATGGAGGCATGAGCATGAGGAGGATCATGGATTTCTACCATTAAATTCCAATAAAGACATTTGTTCTCCTTTCTAATTTTGCAGCAATTGTTGTTTTTAAATCTGAGGTAGACATTTTGTTGAGGGTTTTTATCCGGTAGCAGCAGATTTAATCTACGTGACAAAGATGAGCGGAGCGGAGTTTCACAGTTTTCTTCTTTTATTCATATCACGGAGTTGAACTTAAACATGGCATCTCTCTATCATTGCCTGAGCCGAACTGCACGTCTTGCGTGCTTACATCACACATCTTATCACATACAAGTGATTGATTGGCTGAACCTACACAACATTCCCTGTCAAAATAAGAGCGTCACATATTAACATTTAACACATTTAATCATGAATCAATACCTAACTTTTTTTATTTAGCGTTACAACCCCAAATATGGATAATGATTAAAAGCAGTTTTCTTAACAAGTCAAAGAAATATGTTTTTTACACAAGTTTTAAAAATCAGGAAAAAAACTTTTCCCCCTGTTAGACTGTTAGGTAAAACACTTACTTACTTTAACAGGGTTGTTTCTGTCTTACACTACCAATCCCTTACAATTTTCATATCACCATTTGATTCTAGACACACAATATTCAATCATCAAAAGCTTTTAATTAATTTGCAAACAGCATTTATGGCAGTTCAAGGATTTTTTTTATATAAACCTTTCAGAAAAACACTTTAACCAGTTTCCATAACATGAGCAAAGTTGAATGATGTATTTGTAAAATGAACAGCAGATAAAAAGCCGGTAACAGGGGAATTGTTAATTATCTGGTTTAGCTACTTAAGGTTTATAAAGTTTAAGCTAATTCAAAGTTTCTTTACAGGTGTTTCCAGAATTCGAGGGAAATTCTATTTGGATCGTTAAATATTTCATGGACATTCCTTAATGCAACCCTTCACAGAAACTCGTACATCTGAAAAATATCTGAATGAAAATATTAAACATAGGAAGTTATATTTAATTTGAATACTGATTACAATTTTGAAGATGGTTCACTTCTTTTTATTTAAGCAACTTTTTAAATATACCTGACTCAAGTAAAATTTGTAAATTTCAAATGCTTTTTTTTAAACAAATTTCCTTTGGAATATTTGCACAAATGCATCATCCATATACTTATTTAATGTATCAGAGGTCAAACAGGTTAAAGCCTTCTTAGAATTTCATTTAAGATTATTTTAGTACTGATATATTAACAGTTATAACAGAGTTATAACTGAGTGTTGCACAAAGTAAGAAGAATGAAGAGACACACTATCTCTTAACCAGAATTACCTTAATGTTTCCTAAAGTATCAAACATGGATTTCTCCTAATAGGATGAACAGTATAAAACACTGCAGATGTCAAATGGAGCACATTCCAGATCTTTTCAAGTATAGTGGACAAATTTAAAAACCAGAAGAGTATGAATATATTAAGTAACTGGAAATGGAAGTTATAGTTGATTAAAAAGTCATACAAATCGAGGGTTAAGAAAAATTTATGATTATTACTTGAATGATTATAATGCTACGTTCACACCGGACGCAGCAAAATCGCGTCTGCTGCTTCATTTTTGCTGCTTGTACCAGTTAGTTC